CGGGTTGGTCACTCAACTTTACCAAAATTAACATTTTAGTCATTTAACTTATAATCCTAACACAATGGTTAGCTAACTTTTAAAGTTACCCATATATTAGTCACTCGTTAATGGAAATGTCAAACACCTTTTAGAAGAATAACTTTTGTGGTGAAGAACTTGTAGAAGCCTCAGTTTTAGTTTGGCTAGCAATTGTCATTGTTGGCTTTGCCTTTTGCTTTAAAACATTCATAGTCTGCAATGTCACACCACTATCATCAAATGAAAAATGACACTGTTTTATACCAAAGTTTGCAATGAGTAACGTAGACTACTGTCATCCTCCAGCTTCATGCCAGGTGAATAATATTCACACAGAAAAAAATTTTAAATTGAGATTCACCTTTATAAACAAAAAAAAAAAAGGGGGATTTTTCATTCATATCTAGTTTGTACAGAGAATAGCCTGTGTGGCTGACAGCAATTACAAACTGGGCAGAACAAGGGGAGAAGAAAAGGCCAGACATCTTTTTATTGACCAACGGTTTCTTATTTTCTCCTACATTTCACAATCATCCCAATCTTGTTGACCGCCTTCAAAATCACACTCTGATTGTTGAAGCCTGGTATGCTGAGACAACCTGCTCATTACAGCAAGACCTGGAAAACCATGAAATGACCAAAACTGATCAGGAAGAGCAGACAAAAACATGTTCATTCTTCTAAAACAAGGGTAAATTGAAAGTGTACCTTCAATCATTCTATAGAGAGCTGACCACCAACTGTCACTTGCGACTTGGTACTCTTGCAGTGTATTGGCTATATCATCATCATGCTTCCCCTCCAAAACATCCTGCAGTGTTATCACAGCATCTTTTGTTTTCTTGAGGATATTATTCTCATGTTCAAAATCCAACCTTTGAAGATTGCCCTGTGAAGAAGTAAGGCTGACAGCAAGGGCAAATCGAGCAGCAGCAGTCCAGTGGGAAGTAGCTAGCCATTTCCTCTTTACATTCAACCTCTTGGATTCTTCTCTGCTTAACTTGTCCTCTTCAGATCTGAAAACCAAGCTATGTAAGTACTGAGCATTTGCAGGCCCTGTACTTTGCACCATTTTTGCAAATGCACTTTCTTCCTTGGATAACAGTTCCTCTGGAGTGTCATGTTCTAGAACCTGAAGAAGATATTGAAAGTTCAAAGTTACTGAACTAATTTCAGAAAAAACAAGAACAAGCATGAAAAGGGAAAGGGATTATATAGGTCAGCTTAATGTTTGCAGCCAATCCATGGAACAGAAAGGATGCTTCTACGAGTATTGTGAATTTCAGCCCTTCTATATTTGTGCTCTACATAACAGCATGTTGGCAGTAAGAAAGTAGAAATTGTCAAGAATAACAAGTAATATTTAGCCTCACCTGACCAGCATCAAGCACGAGAATCCGATCACAGTCAATGATTGTATTTAGTCTGTGAGCAATAACAAGCATGGTGCAGTATTTGAATTCTTCTCGAATAGTTTTCTGGATAAGAGCATCAGTCCTTACGTCAACAGCTGCAGTTGCTTCATCAAGAACAAGAATCTTTGAACTTCGCAGTAATGCTCGCGAAAGACTTAATAGTTGCCTCTGCCCAACACTGAAATTCTCCCCACCCTCCAAAACCTTGACATTAATCAAGTGAAATTAAATAGTCAAGAGTTTGATTCTTTCTCTTGCTTTGGACAGTACATAGAAATATGCATTTTGTTGCACATCAGTTAACAATATTTTCCTGTTTTACTTATAAATATTATGTAACATATCAATTAGCTAGGTTAGCATACTAATCCTTGATTTGAATTAAGTCTGTGTTTGATATTAGTACCTGAGCATCCAAACCAAAAGGATATTCCTAATGACATCCTTTAAATGTGCCCTCTCCAATGCCTCCCACAGATCAGCATCATTGTGCTCACTAAATGGATCAAGATTAAATCGCACAGTTCCTAAGCACAAAATAGATCATCAGGATGAGACAGTTTATCATTATAAGACTCCAACCATGGAGAAGATTGTAATATTAAGTATACTAGATAAGCAGGAAATTTTAATAAAACATTGATCAAGAGAAATTAACCAGAATGTGAATGGTACCTGAGAAAAGAACTGGTGATTGTGGTATGATACTAAGAGCCTTCCGTATATCTGTTAGTCCAAATTTAGCAAGATCACAACCATCAATTGAGATTCTTCCTTTTTCCACTTCTACAATCCGAAATAATGCATTTAGCATGCTTGATTTTCCTGCACCGGTTCTTCCCACAATCCCAACCTTCTCACTTGGAGAAATGGTGAAGGATAATCCATGTAAAACTGGAGGAAGTTCAGGCCTATAACGTAGGACAACATCCTCGAACTTAATTGATCCTGATGAGGGCCACCCAGGTGGCGGTCGATTGCTTTCAATAACATCTGGAGCCTCTGAAGCTAGATCAATGTATGTGCCCACACGCTCCACAGCATTCAAGCTATTCTCAGCCCTACTTGCTTGTCTTAGAACACCACTCAAAAGAGTGGTGATATTTAAAGTATAACTGAGAAGCAGACCCATTGTTGCTGCAAATGCTGCCTGGTTTTCTGCTCTTCCATTCTGCATAACTGCAAAGGTAGCTGTCAACCAAATCATGATGCCTCCTAATGATTCTAGCCTTATAGTGAGCCAACGAACCAATGGTTATCATAACAAATACAAGATATGAATATGATGAAAATAGCAAGGAACTTTCATTCTCTCATTCTTACGTAATATGACAAATTAGATCAGTAAAACTAAATGGGGTTTAAAAGAATGATAATATTGTTATTTGATTTTTTTTTTTTTATTAATCTCTTGCTATTTAGATCTAATGATCCGAACTTGAGACCTTAATATATATTATAATGGCTGACAAATATATCAAATAAATAAGAATGCTTTAATAAATCTATTTTACTTGTTAAGTAGTCAGTGATTTATTGAAAAAATGTGTAAATAAAAATATTAATTTTATAGTTTTTATTTAAAAATGTTAATTTTAATAATTTTTAAATTAAAATATCAAATTTTATTTTTTTATTTAAAAATATTAACTTTTAAATTTTTTTTTAATTTAAAAATATTAAATTTTAATATTCTGATTAAAAAAATTATTTGTTATGTTAGTATTATTATTCAATTAATTTTTAAATAAAAAATAAAAAAAATTGACATTATTAAATAAAAAAATTAAAAATTAGTCTTTTTATTTAAAAATTAATACATTTTAAATAAAAAAGTATAAAGGTAGCATTTTTATTTACATTTTTTCTCATGATTTACCATAAAACTATGAAAGAAAAAAAAGTTAGAACACACCATTTAATTTCTTTTAAGAAAGGTTTCTTGATTTTTTTTAAAAAATATGGGACTTATTTAATTTTTTTACAAACGTCCAGGGGGCGAGTGCCCCTTGCATTTCTTGGCTCCGTCCCTGATTGTATATTTTTTCAGCAAAAATACTATAAATATAGTGTTACGAGATATTATAAATTTATAGTATGATATATATTGTTATAATTAATTTTTTATTTAAAATTTATATACATTTATTTATTTATTATCGTGTTGTATTTATTTAATATTACTTTATGATTATAAACTTAAAATCTTGTATAATATTATAATTATATTATTGACATTTTTTAGTTCAATTA